TGGCCCTAGCGGCTGTGGCGCGCCGCGGGCGGTCTGTCGCCGAGAAGCTCAGTGCCTGCTCCCTAGTCATGCGGGGGGGAACTTTGGCATTGGCCTCCTTGAGCGGTGCCGGTGTGGGTGCCGGCACTGGGATGGACGGGAGGGTCTTGAGGGCGGGCTCCGCAGGCAGCTCGTCCTCGGAGGTGGCTGAGGAGAGGGCCCTCTCCGCAGACTTTGCGGTGGCGTCTGACACCGGGGAGCCGGCGTCTTCTGAGGGGGCGCGTCTTTGCCACTCGGGCTTGCCGCGGACGACAGCGACGGGTGCGGGAGGTGACCCGGAGCCAACGGGGGTGGGGGTGGGAGACGCGGTCTCGAAGAACGGGATGGAGCGCTCGGCGGGCTCGCCAACGGCGAACGTGAGCGCGCGGGCTTTGCCGGGAAATTTCGACGGGATGGGCGGCAGCGAAGTGTGGGCGGTGAGGTCGTCGGAGGGTATGCGCGGCAGGTCCGCGGGGCGGTTCGATGAATCGCGGCGACGCAGAGAGGCGGAGAGCTTCTTCAGCAGGCGCAGCGAGGAGGAAGAGGAATGTGTCGAGGAGAGGTGCGGCGACGTGGGGGAGGACTTGAGGTCGGCGCTGCCGCGCGAACGCCTCGAGGAGGAAAAGGACAGACCACGCATTGTGTGTGAGAGGGAGGAGGGTGGCGGATGGGGGGAGGGGAGTGGGAGGGGAGTAAGGGGTGTAGTACCTGCTGTGAGGAGGGGGGGAAAGGGGGGAGGGGGGGTGGCAGGTTATACTGTAGGATGGAGAGGATGAGTAAAAGCGGAGAGGGAAGAGGGGGAACGAAGTTTGTTGGTGTCGAGGATTGAGAGTTTATGGCGGCAGATGTGTTATGCGGGTGGGTGGGAATGGGAGGAGGGTGGTGCGGTTCAAAAGGAGAGTCGGATTTGTGGGCCGATACGCGGCATCACGTCATAACGTCCCAAAATGGACCACTTTTGAACTTGCCCCTATCCCTGCGCCATTCGACTCCCTCCGCCACAACGGCTCGCCTGGCCGAGCCCACCCTCTCCCCTCCCTCTCCCCTCCCTCTCCCCTCCCTCGCCCCTCCCTCGCCCCTCCCTCGCCCGTACACACCACCCTCCCACCCGTACCTTGCCCCCTCCTCCCCCCTCCCTCATGTCTCTACATTTCCCTGGAAACTCCGCCACAACCCCGCCAAGTACACGTCTCGTCTCGCCCTCTTCGCCAGCACTCTTCGCACGTTTTCCTCTAACTTGTGTACAAAAGTCCCGCCCCGCACATGCTTCCCTAACGCCTCGCCGCGTGCCACGCCCTTCCCATTGGCCTTCGCCTTCCTCGCTCGCGTCCCTCCGCCTCTCCCGCACGCCCGCCTCCCGACCAGCCCCGCTTCCTTGGCACTCGAGACCCCCGTACCCGTGAACGGCTTTGTACTGTACACTACTTGCTTGTCCACAAGTTCTACCCTTTTTGATGCTGTACCGCGCCCTGCTTGCTCTCGTCGTTCCACATCTTCCACTGCGCATCGCGCCCGTTTCATTCGCCCGCTCTCTGTGCACTCTGCCGCCAGCCCCTCTTCGCCACCGCCTTGCATTCGCCTCGTGCTCTTCACAGACCGGTGATCAAGTCGTTCAATTTTTTTAATCTTCCTCCCGTCCCATCCCCCCTCATCATTTCTGAGCTTTTTCATTGCGCACCCGTTTCAGTTCCACGCCGTCCCGCCTTTTGCCTGCGGCTCTAGAGCATCGTGTAAGACACCAATCTCTTCGCACTTATTCACTTGTACGTGCTTGCGCTTGTGTACACGCTTTCTCCACCCCCTTTTCCTCTTGCAAACTACTTTATCCTGCAGTCGCACTACTGTCCCCAGGCAGAGTCTCTGCTCCCGGTTTGCTGTGCCCCGTACTGTTCTGTACGCGTCGCACGTGCATCGATATATTAGTCCACTCGGTCTTTCCCCCTTTGGCCTTGTATCTTTTCTCTCTAGTCATCCTAAGCGCCCTTTCCATTTACAACCATTGCTTTAATCGCAAATTTCCACTTTTAAACGTTACTGTCTCTCGCTAAACAATCGTGCTACCCATTTATCCGGTACGCTGTCTCCTTTCCTCCACGCTACGCCGTCGTACGTACCTTTATCGCATGAACATGCGGTGCAGACTCCCACGCAACGACATCAAAACACCGTCCTTGTTCCCTGTGTGCACTGTACGTAAAGCACACCACACCGACGGTCGGGGTCTAGCTAGACCTTGCCGTCAAGCCCCCTCCTCATCCCGGGCTTACCCAAACGGTCCTTGAGCCCCGTCCGGTCTGTATCCACTGCAGAGCTACTGGTAGGTTGATCGGATCTCCGTCCTTGCGCCTATCACAATTCGGTTCCTGGTCGGGAGTCTCTGTCATGTCGTGGCGGCAGTGGACGCGCAAGGTCTGGGTGTCTTGCCTGGTCCATAGATTTGAAATGTAGTCACCAATCAATCGCCGCGTTTTTGAATTTTGAATTTTGGCTCCCTTTCACGCAAAGCATTGTTGCGCCATTCGCTCATTTCGGCCTACTGTATGCGTGTCTTGGCGCTGCGCCACAGTATGCTTGGCGCCAGTCGAGCACAAGTAATTTGATCCTCCCTGGGGTGCTGTAAAAGCCTCTTTTTTTTTCTCGCCTTTCGATCGTGCCGTGCGTACCCTCGCCGACAGAGCCGTAAGAATATGAGAGCTGCGAGTTATAATAGGTATCTCGTGGGAAGCTCTGTCCACGTATTGTAGCATCAATCGCTTTACGGCCTCTGGCACTCATGCAACCAGTGACTCAGCAGCCTGGAGACGCAACCTTGCCCTCTGCATCGATATGAAAATGAATGCAAATTTTCACCGGTTGAGTTTTTTTAGGCGACGTGCTTCCACAGAGTGGCTCCCCAGAGCCATCATGCTTCCCCCAATTTCCACTCACCGAGAAAAACAACTCTCTGGGTGGTGAAGCTACCCTTGTGCGTTCTTGAATGGCTGCTGACATGATGACGCCTTCCTGCACAAATACTGCGCAGCAGGTGCAATCAGGTTGTCCAGGATCGCGCCTCCTCGAGAGACAACCTCCCACATTTTCGTCTTACCTTCTCCGCATTCCCTTATTGCCCTGAGGTGTGTAAACCACATGCGGAGCCTTTCCATCCCTCCATTCTGCGTTCCTCAGAATTCCTCTTGGGACGTCCGGCCCAAATTGAAGTATCACTTTAATCGTTCGGCACCGGTGACCTGCCGTGGAGTACATACTGCAGGCGTGAATGCACTGATTACAGTAGTTTCTGCGCGGCAAGGGGTTACCAGTGGAGAACTAGGAAACACGAAAACCTCCACCGTAGTATTAAACTCCGCACAGGTTCCGAGGTGTTGACACCTGACTTGCCCTGGAATTTCAGCCTGACATCAAGCTGAAATTCCAGGGCAAGTCAGTCTCGGCAGATTGGATTCGTCCAACTGATACGAAGTGTGGCACATATGTAAAGTGGAATAGTAACGCATGTGACCTATTGCGACTCAAAAACAAACACCTCCTCCAACGTGAAAACTGAATTCGATGACGAAAGTATCCTGCGTCAGATTAGCTCTCATGCGGTCGCGAGGGTGCTGAGGAGAGCTGCGTAGCAGATATCACCAGAGTGGCTGGAGTGTTGACAGTCCCTATCCCGAATGGAATGCAGACCGCGCCAGTGTAGTTTGGCATGATCGGAGAAGCTGTTGAAACACGGTTTGTTTCTGCGATTGCATGACGGTTCAGAGTAGACAAAAAAGGCCCAGCTGGTGCCCTGTGTGCAAATTGTAGAATAAATGCGGCTCGAAGGCGTGTTTGGCATTTGGCTACAAGCTAGCGCTACCACCGCACAGTACAGAGATACGTCAGGATATCCCTTATACAGTAGTTATGGCGGACGCTCGAAACGCGCATGAAATAGTAGTGCGAAGCAGAAAAGTGGGTTCAGAAGGAAGCTCCGCGTACAGGGGACGAGCTCGGTCTCTCCAGAGTTGCTGAATACAATACTTTATAATGTGATATGGGATTTATGGGTACGGACTTCATTGCGAGAGAGAATTTGTTGTTTTGTATACGGAAGCGATGAGAAGCTTCATGTCGGGGGCTTGCACGCACGCGTCGTAGAGCATTGTGGAGTACCCTTAGGTATAAAGAAGAGTGGCAGAGAGTGGTTTTCCAAGACAGTGATACTGTTTCTTATTAGCGTACAATGGGGCTTGTCTACAGGCCCCAATTCAGTATTTCTGGTCTCAGTGTTCCTTAACGATACCCTTAGGGTACCGTACTGTTGCGGCTAGTCCAAGCCGCACACCCTACGGACCGAAAGAGCAGCGATTTCTGTAGGTAGTCCGCAAGTTTACTCCCAAGTCGCCTCTTGCTCCCTCGATGGCCTTCCTTTCTACGCGCTGCGACTAACTTATACTGTCGATACTGGCAACCATCGGCGGCATCCCGTCCTCCATCCCTCGAGCAGGCGCCTGCCGCCACCGTCCAGGACTCGGTCCGTTTGCCCGCCCTTCCGTTGCGAACCTCCCTCCGTCCCCTCCGAGCCTCACGTTCCCCTCTTGCTGCCACCGTATCCACCATTACGCCCTTGCCCAACGTCCTGCGCGCGCTTCCGCCCGACACCTTCCGTAGCCCTGGCGGCCCCGCCACCGCCTCCTGTCTGCCTCCAGCGACGCCATTGGGTCAAAACGCTCTCGTCGTCCCGCAACGTCCTCGCGTCACCGCACCGCCTCCCTTCCCCGAACGTCTCCAAGTCCTCGCCATGTCCTCGCCTGACACTGTCGGGCTGTGCCGCGCATTGGGAGCCGGGTCATATGCAACCGCTCTCGCGTGTCCCACGTGTCAAGAAAGAATCAAATTCAGACCCGCAACACCCCTCCCTTTTCCCATGTCCTTGAGAACTGGTTGGAAGCACCGGTCCTATTGACGGGGTGCTCGGTCGAGCTCGGTCTTGGACACGGGAGTCTCCGTCAGTCTTTGTCCAGTAGCGTCGGTGCGTCCTTCTCCATACTCGGGGACCGCAAGGGAAGAGACGTATGGGCCTTTATGGACGATATAAGTCTCGGTACTGAGTCCGCGGAAGACCACCTAACGTCACTGGAATCCGTCCTGCGGCGGCTACTCGACGCAGGCGCCCGGTTGAAGTTCTCAAAGTGCCAGTTTGGCGTACGAGCTGCCGAAATTCTTGGGCACTGCATTGACGAAGATGGGCCCAAGCCGTCAGCCGCCCACGTAAAGGCGATCCGGGAACTCGTAGAGCCGGGAAACGGGGAGGAGCTCATGCGCTTCCTCGGTCTAGTCAATTATTTCAGTGACTTCGTCGACCACTTCGCCGAAATTGCGAAGCCGCTCCATGCTGTCCTGAGGGGTACGGGCTTCAATCGGAAGAAGAGGCGCGGGACCCACCTTGTCATTAAGGATTGGGACAGCAGGTGGGGTAGCTGCCAGAGAAAGGCGTGGGAAGAGCTGAAGGCGGTCCTCGGGGACCCGGAATTTCTCGCATCACCAAGGAGGGGAGCGGCCAAGAAAGTTATGACCGACGCCAGTGGGTACGGACTCGGAGGAGTGCTACTGCAGGAGGAAAGCAATTGGTCCCCATTTGCCAACCCTCAGCGATCTAGCCTTACTTTCATTAGAACCGGATAGGGCCCAGACCGGGTATCGGCGTTGTGGGCACCGGTAGCCGTGCTCACCTCGCAGGTCTCCACTGCTCTCGGAATACCGCCCATCTTGTGGCACCAACCGACACGCCCCGGGGCCCTTCCCTTCCGACGCCGCCGCTGCCTGATCACACCCAGGCCGTCCAACGGGATCGACCCTACCTAAAATAGTCTTGACACAGGGCGCACAAGTGCCTTCTTGCACCGCTCCTTGAGTGCGCTGTACATTATCGTCCGCTGATGGCTGGTCAGTCGCAGACGACACCCAACCACGTTTTGATGAGTCCTTCACACTCAGCTGGCAAGAAATCACTACTCTGGATCCCATACATGTCTGGTTCCTGCCTCCCCACCTTTCCACTGATGAGGGAAAAACGGCTGCCCTTTCCAACTCTGACCGGACCAACGTGCCTCCTGCCAACCTCGAGCCTCTTCTGCCCAAGACTAGAGACACAGTACCCTGCCGAGTCGCATGCGACCACGCACCTCTTCAGGACTTCGACAGACACCTCATCTATCTCCGCCCCTCCAGCTTGACCCGGCGACGACCTGTATAACCTGAAGTAACAGCCAAACTCCCCGAGATAGGGCACCAACCTCCTTGGATCCTGCCCGGCGATCAACACTGCCTCCTCCGACGCCCTCACCTCATCTACAATGTCGCCCAGACTCTTGATACGCCCCGCCTTGTTCCACATAGCGTACCATATCCTAAACTCTGCCTCCACTGGTGGCATATTATACCCCGATGCTTGCGTCTGCTCGGTAAGCCGGACATCAGCGTACGAAGTCAAGTCCTCGTCCGCCCAGCCGCATACGTAACCAGACATATTATCGCGGCCAATTATGACGTATCCAAGACCACCGTCCCTGCTCTTATCTATCGATCGCCTATCCAGCCAGATCGACTTTCTCGAACAGTCCCACAGGTCTCTCCGATACGCCCAGACAGGCACACCGACAACTTTGCTGGATGCACTCAGCTGCACCAGCTCCCAACCACTTTCGTACTCGGCCTTCCCACTCCGCATAAAGCAGTTGTTGTTCGCAGTGGGGTTCGTGTCAAAGACACACCTCTGCCCGGGTACGAAACCAGCCGGCACCATCACCCTCTCAATGAGAGTTAGTGGGCCATAATCGCCTCGCCTATGCTCAGCCGTCCATTGCCAGATGTCGGCACCTGACAAGCTGACCAGTTCCTGCCCGCGATAGATCCTCCCGCCGTACCAGGGAAGCGGCACGTCTATAAGGATCGCCCCCGGGCCTCGATCTCCCTCGCGACTAACCAGCGTGACTAGTCCTGCCTCCTCGGCAGCGTACACCGCTTGGTACATCTCACGGGACCAACTGATCCATGAAGGCCAGCTCCGGGTCGAAGTCTCGTACCAACTCTGCGTTGGCAACTCTGACATCCGGGTGACTACCATCTCCGCCAAGCCAACCATGAGTATGGCACGGCCCTTGCGAACACATACACCTACCCTGCCAGCAGGCCTCTCCCTCGTCAGCGGCTCCGCGAACCCCAGGTCACCACACCTGAAGGTCCGCCCCAACAGTGCCCCCTCGCTCACAACTCCCCACTCTTCACCACCAACGCGATGTCCGTGGCTCATCTCGGCCATGTCTCCTACCATGACGTCAATCTCGGACCTATCATAGTCGTATTCGTGTGCTGGGTCGCGGTAGCCAATATCGACCACCTCATCTAGGCTACCGTCAGAACTCGTCTCACTCCAGCTACACTCCGGCTCTGGCGGTTCCCTACAGGTACACCCCGCACCACCGGTTCCACCGTCGACTCCCCCACAAAATAAGCATATCTTAGAACGGTCAACGCAATGTACTCCTGCACCACAGGACACTGTCTGGCTCCTCCCACCTTGCCTCCGCTCTGGATCCGGCGGGTGGTCCGGACATGTCCAGTGGCGCTCACACATCTTGCACTGATCGCAAGTCCACTTTTGTGGGCACCGACTCGTACGGCCACTTGACGTGACGTACGCGTGCCTACATCTCTCAGGGTGTGTCTTAACAAGCGCTTGTTTGCCCGTGCTTGCCCGTGCTTGCCCGAAAAAAAACACTTGCTCTGGTTTGATTGGTTCTGGTAGTTTATTATTTATTAACTTCGAAGAAGTTACCTCTTACAGGCGGCATTGGTGTAGCTTACGCCTTTGGGACAGTTGTCGAAGTCCTATTGGCTGGTTTGACTGATTGTACACTTACGATTTGGCGGACTACTGTATTTCGTTTGCGCTCCACATGCCCAAAAGTTTTGTAGTGTAAGCAAACAGTGGGTTGACAGGGAATGCAAAACCGTTCCCGTCACCCCAACATTCCCCCTCCCGCAGTCCCCTTCCCGCGCAATCTGTTCCCACCTCCCTCTTTTGCCATGGTCGCCACCGATCGAGGTTCTTCGCGCCGCTCCCCGCGCATTGCGAAGATTAATACACGAATATCTAAGCAACCCCCGACGCCCTCCTCACTAGCTCCGACAACAAAACCACACATCCCCCATTTTCGGGCGCCCCTCCACCTTCTGAAGGCGTATCGGGGGGCCGTATTCCCCTGTCCCTTTCCGAATCAGAGACTGATCCTTTGAATCGTCAATGTGGAGAGGCGCCTCCATCGAGCCCGGGCTCGCTGGAAGAGGGGGGCACGGCGGGAAGACTTAACGACGACTAAGAATTGGGGGATCCAACGGCAGAAGTGACAGAGATGTCAAAAGTCTACACTTATCTCTGCCAACAAAAGAAAGGGAAGTTGAGGGAAGTGTGCCCTTTTTGGAATTTAAAATTGGGAGGGAACAAGTTGGCGCTGATATTTCGTTGCTTAATACTGCTGTGGTATTATGAAAAGAAGGGAGCAGATGTACTCGTGAAGTTTGAATCAAACCATAACTGTGAAGATTTGGGGTCTTTTGTGGACAGTTTTGCGGAAAGCGGAGAAGATTGGATAGAGGCACCCTGCTTTTCGACGGCAAAGGCGTATTTGTGCAAGATAGGGGACAAATTCGACAAGCACGACCGGCCGATTAATAACGCAAATAGAAAGGAACCTATCGCATGCATAGAAGATCTAGAAGGATTTGAAGCAGAACGCTCTAAGCCAAACTTTTCACTTTCTGAATTTGCTCGGTTGGCTGTTTTGATGAGAGACGATGAAGTGGCGCGCAGCATACTTTTTAGGTTAGGTCAGGAATTTAGAAGGGCGGAATTGGACGGGTGTACAACGATGGACAGTTTTTGGGGGAAGATAGAAGAAGGTTTAACGATGATTCGGTTTGTTTTCGCTTTTCTCTTCAAGGCCACGTCGATGAAGCTGATCCATGCCCATCTCCCCTCTGTTTCCGCTGCGCTGATGTGTTGAAAGACCACTTTCGGGACGCGAAAGCGCTTTTCACGGCAGCGTTGAGCAAGTGGTCGCGCTCTGGTCAAAACGACCCGGAGCGCTTTGTTAATTTTCTCCCACGAAATGGTCAAAATTTATATGCTGCCTCTAAACGTGCTTTGATTTTGTTTGTTGTTGCTAGGATGGGAACGCCGCACCAAGACACCTATTTTGTGGAAATGACGTCGAAAACAATATTGGATGTGGGTTACGAGTGTGTAGTTAGGGTAATAGATAGGCAATGTTATGACAGCGGGGGAAGGGACAGTGGGGGTCCATATGATAGTATCAGAGCTGTAGCAGATACTAGAGAGAAGAGGAGGAGCAGTGAAGATGTGATAGACATTATGGAGAAGCACGTGGAATCGATTGGAAAGGTGGTTTCGTCGCTTGCAGGCCCGGCTACGAGTGCGGCCAATAATTCAACTCCAGTGAATGCACCGGCTGCTCGCATTGGTTCGTGGGAAGAAAACAGTTCGATGTTTGCGATTGTCGAGGCCTCATTAATGGCGTTGGAAAGGGCGAAGAAGTTGGCCGTCGGGGATGAGTCCAAAACACCATTTGTTGAGGTGGCAAAGGAGCGCTACGAAAAGGCTCTTTCTTCATATGGCGAGATGAGCAGCAATATGTTCGCAAATTTGTAGAAGGAAGGGGATGGGTCCAGCATGAAGTGCAGCTTCGAGCACAGGTGCCACTCGCTGCGCCCGGGGTCTGGGCACGTGCACGCCACCGGCCTGTATATCTGGCAGTTGCACATACGGCAGTATCCCTGCCACACGTCGTCTGTGTAGATCCCGTGAGCTGTCCCTGAGAGGAGCGCGTATTTGTGCTCTATTATCACGTCATCCCTCGTGTAGTTGAACCTTTTGCGTCAGTACCGTGAGAGGTGCCGGCGCAAACGAGGAGAAGCGAGTGGTCACCGTCGAATGTTAATTTCAAGAGTATGGGAGTGCTTCTGTCAGCCCACCTTTGGTGGACGTTTCTTAGAGGGAAGTCTTCTTCTACCCGGTTGACGGCATCTAGTTCTCTACTTCGCATGCGTAGACAAAAGTTTATGGCAAAAATTGAGTACATGCCTCAACTAATTCACGTCATCATCTTCAATGACTGCTGTCCGACAGACCTCTTGCGTTTGTCGGGCATGTCACGGGGCCGCTTCCCAGCTGAAGATGCCTCGCCCTGAATCGGATCGAAGCTCTTGTTCTCCGCTGATTGGAAATTTCTATTTGCCTCTTGTGAAACCGCTGCTCCGCAGTTCCTCCTCCCTCCTCCTCCAGTTCAACGTACTCTTCTTTGTCACTATCTCAGAACATGACGCTGGCTCCTGATATTCCCTGACCAGCGGGCCTACTTCGCCGCAGAAGCCACAGTTGTGCGCGCAGCAACGACCGTCGAAAGCGAAACTGCAGGAGGCATGAGATCCATCGGAGGCCGGGCTGGCTCGTTAGCTTGCAAGAGCATATAGTAGTCACCAAGACAGCAAATACTGAGGGCTGTTAAGAGGCGGTGACAAGGATTTGCTGTCCAAATTGAAGCGAAGAGACGAGCTCCTATGTGGGGGCTACGTGTCGTAGCGATGGAGCAAACCAGGAGTCATCCACAGTTGGAGAAGAAAATATGGAAGACTAAGAGTATACGACCCCATACGCTTGTGCCTCTGGAGTCAGCGATGAGACTGGAGAAGGACGAAGAGTCTGGCCGGTCCTTTGGGGCGGGAAGACAAAACTAAATGCGGCTGAGTTTCTTCATGGTAAGGAATACTGTAGCCATGGGTAACGGAGAAGGAAGGCCGAGACTAAAGGTGGAGTTAGCGGCACCACGATTGCTGGATCGTCCATTTAGCAGGTCTCGATACCGTTCTGAGTTCGATTGCAATCTTGATTCCCCCCTGTTTCAAGCAGAAGCGTGCTGGCGCCAGGGAATATAGAAGTTGAACGCTTTGCATCAGGCAAGAGGGGCTATCCTTTCGCGAAGAACACTCTGTCGTACAGTATTAGGTCGGAGGGTGCATTACCCTTGCCGAACATTACACTAATTTGTCTCTCTAGGATCTACACTCTCTAACAATAATAGCACTCCTGTACTGAACTTCTGTCTTGAGTCTCACATGTTGCCAAGTCGTTGCATGAGCAACATTTATCGCACATAGAAAGCCTCTATGCCCCGGATTCAAAGAAATTGAACTCTGAAACTGACACATGCGGACCACGGACGGACTTGCATGAATAAATGAGAGCGAGTAGGAGTCCTCACGACACTTCATTTACCAATGACTATTCACACACCACAACTGACGAACTCAAAGGTGCACAACAAAGCGCTCTGTCCATCTACTAAATCTTCCACGTTGACCATACGAGACACCTCCTTTGCGAACACGATTCATGACAGTTAAACAAAAGTGGTAACATAAAACAATACAGTAAATCGTGAAAAATATGAAATCTAAGAACTTCCTTCCTTGTTCCCATTTGCCTCAGCATCATTATGCGTTTTCGCCATATCCTGTGGTACTAGTTTTCAATTTCTTACTCAGATCACACGTAGTCTCGGCATCGATAGCCACCAGTTCCTGATGCGGTACTATCTCCGGAATCATCGCATTTCGCGAGTCCAGAAGCTGCATTGTGAAAGTCCTGAATCCCCTTCTTAATTACAACTTTATTCGGTATAGGCAAGTCGGCAGTTCCTCCCTCGCCGCTATCCCATACTTGACCGTCTGCACTATTCATTTCAACCACGCTCGCCGCTGGTGCAATGGCCACCTTCCCTTCGACCTTCGCTCGCCGCTGGTGCAATGGCCACCTTCCCTATCGGCCACCACCGCCGAGCTCGACCTCACCGCCCTGGCCGACGGCGTCCCGCACGAGAACGCCCTGCAAGTCGGTGAGCACAATCGCCTCCTGCTCATGCCCTCCTTCACCACAGGCTCCATCACCGTCGGCTTCGCCGTCAACGAGAAAATCGCCTCCTCCTCCACCGTCGTCTGCAACGACAAGTACATCGGCCGCCTCGCCCGCGACGACGCCACGGGCACCAGCCTCTTCATCTCGGAGAACTCCAACGAGCACATCACAAAGGTCTCCTTCTACAGGCTGCTATCTGCGGCCCACCGCGAGCACATCTTCTCGCTCTTCCAGGCAAAGCCCTTCCACCGCATCATCAGCCGCATGCGCGAACGCTTCAACACCTCGGCCCTGCTGCGCCACATGGTCTACCACTACGTCGCCACTGAGGCCCGCCCGTGCGTGCACTGCGGTGCGGAGACCGCCCACGCCCTGTCCAAGTGCAACTGCAAGGTCTTCATGCCCAGGAAGCTGCACCCGCTGGACACGGACGCCGAATACAAGAGCCTGCAGTGCTACACAGGCGCGTACTGTGGCGTCGCCACCGTCTCCCTCTTTAAGGCCGGCGCCAGCGTGTTCACGGCAAACCTCACCACCAACAGCGCCACCACCATCACGGCAGACCCCGACGTGCAGAGGCGCCTGGCCATCTGGGCCCTGTGTTCCGCCGTCAAGGACTCCCCAATCAGCCCGCTGGCCTTCAC